TCTCTTCCACCTGGATGTCAGCTCGCTCCAACATCGGCAAAGGAACTGTAGCCACCATGATGTATTTCCCTTTCTGGCGACGCCCATCATCTCGACCCACAGGATACGGGCCCACCAAGTCCAAAGACATGACATAGGCGGAGCTGTCGGCATGCGACCGTCTGTGAGGGCTGTCCACCCCTGCCAGCTCCATACATCGCCTGCAGTCTCGTCTGTAAGGATGGTGATGAGCTCTGATGTGTCGCTTCCACTCCTCAACGTTCAACTTGTGGATGCGCTGGGCAAGACATTGATCCCGTTCATGGAGATAGGTCCTCAGCGCTACCTTGAATGCAGCCACCAAGCCCGGTGCCCAGCTCGCCCAATCCTTCGAGGCATTGATTGAGGCCTGAAGATCTCGTGGAAGAGGATCCGATCTGCGTGTTGAATCCCTCAAACCATCCAGCTGCTCCAAGCCCGGCAGATTTCCCAAGACCGTAGTTGGCTTCCGTCTCACATGCCCCATTTGGGATTGATCAAAACTCACAAGCTTCAGCTGCCCTCGTCCCACCAGGTCCTTCAGTTCAGGAAAGTTCCAAAAGGATGGGAAGTTGGCTGCAACCTCAGGTCCAAGGTATTCCATTGGGTCTTCAGGAGACTCCAGTGCAAATGCCGTAGGAAGACAATGAAGCTCCGGCACCTGCATGCGTCGCTCCTCCGCCTTCAAGAACAGGCCCAGCTGCTTGAAGAGGAGCGCTGTGTCGGAGTTGACCCGATGCAGGTCCCATGTGGACAACCCTTCAAGATGGAAGCGAAGGCCGTCTCGTCCTCGGAGAGGAGGTGGTCCAGGCTGCCGTTGCCGCAGCCGTGACGTCGTCCGGCATGGTGGTCCACCCAAAATGCCAACCACCTTTCCAGCACATGCAAGCTCCCAAATGAACGCCCACGTAGCTGCATCATGTAGGTCAATCCCATGCAAAGTGTCCACCGTGAGGATCGTGTAGCCAGCTTGTTCCAGCTCATCCCACTGTTTGTGGTTCTTCCCTGAAAAGAGGTGCAAAAGGATGCCCTTCGACTTCCACAGTCTCCTTCTTCGATGGCGATTCCAGGGAAGGCTAGAAGAGTGGTCACGCCAGCTTTCACCCTGCCCCTTCATGAACCTCCAGATGGAGTGCGGGACCTGTGGGAAGTGATCAGCCCACCACTTCAACTCGTCCTCCTTCAAGTCCACATCTACCTGCTGCATCTTCTCCAAGTCACCCAACAGGGACAGGCCTTCCGCCCTTGACATCACCGGGCATCCTCCCCTCAAGCTGCACTGCAAAGGCCCTTTAGTAGGGTGGTGGATCACGATGCTGTCTCTCTTCCATGTGATCTTGTAGTCAGCTGCCACCAACCAGGCCAATGGAATGATCGGCTCAACAGGGCTCCGGCTCAGCAAAGTCTGGTGCTTGGGGTGCTTGAAGAGGGTCGTAGATCCACAGGCCAACTCCACCTTGGTGGCGATCAGGTCAGGTTCCTCTTCAGGTCTGGCCTGTCGAAGTCCATGCGTGGCTCCACCATCAAGGAGTGCATATTCTCCAGGTCCTCCATAGATCCCTTCTCCCACGGACTTCATCCGCACGGCCTTCAAGGACCGGATTGACTTCAGCAAGCTTGTGGCTTCCCTCATCAGCTCAGCTGCTGCTTCTGTTGAAGGCTCACCCATTGGTTCAGTGGCAGTTGAATCACCACCTTGAGTTCCATCCGGGGTACCCCCAGGAGTCGTGCTGACCACATCCTTGGGCTTGACCTCACTCCCATTGGGGGTTTTCCCAGGACTCTTCTGTGCATCCACCACTTGGTCCTTGGCGGCTGACTTCGGGGTCGCCTTCACCTTGGAAACCTTCTTGGGCTGTGAGCTATCCCCTGCAGGGCCACCAGCCGGGGTGGATGTAGGAGTTGAAGTAGATGAGGTCTTCGCTGTGCAATCCTTCCGAAGATGTGAAGAGCTCCCACAATTGAAACACCGTCCCTTCATCTCCGTGGTCTCATGAAGAAAAGTGCACTGCGACCCGCGTCTGCATCCATCCACAGTCTTCCAAAACTTACATGGTGCCTTCGATGGATTCAGAGCTGATGCACTCGTAGTCGAAGTTGAAGCGTCCAAACCCACCATGGCTTTCAGCGAGGTTGGGGCAGCAGCTCCAGCAGTAGTGGCTCTCAGGCCGATTCCCAAGCTCAGCTCCTCGGCCTCAGACTGGAGGTACTCCGCATACTGCTCAATGGATAGTGCCAAGGGCCTGATGTCAACCCCCAGCTCCTGCCTCACCGAGGCCACCCGGTACGCCAGCTGCGTTCCACCCAGCTTCCCAAGAGCATCTGCAAAGCGATGAAGAACTCCTCCAAGAATGATCGGATCTGGAAGGGCCAGGTTCAGCTCCATGGATCGGCTCATGAGACGCCTCCATCGCCGAAGTCCCCCAAGCAAATCCGGTGCGCTGCTGGCCACCTTCGGCTCCGTGAGCTGTTTGAGAATGCTCACCCGCTCTGAGCTGCCACCAGGTTGAAAGACCGTCCACAACCTGTACATAATGCCAGTGACCGTCATAGTCCTGCTGGCAATCAGGTCCTGTTTGATGGACTCCGGGACGCACTTCAGCAGCATAGGCACCACCCTCTGCTCCAAGCGTAGATGGGCCTCGGATCGTTGAACTTCTGTTGGACGAAGTCTGATCCTCTCCAAGGGCGTCGAAGTGAGCCACCGGTCATACAAACTTGAGGCATCTTGCAAGATGTCACCCCACCAACCACGAGCAGATCCAGCCACGTCCCCAATCATCGGAGTGACCACTGTGATCCAATCACCAAACTGCAGAGCTGACTGCTCCGTCCCAGGTTGAGGTAGTAGAGGAAGCTCGGAACCGCTCAAAGGCTCCATCGGCTGTGGCACACCTTGTTGTAGATCTGGTCCACCCAAGCCTGGAGGTCTCACCAGCGACGTAGTTCCACCTGCACCCCCACCAGCACTAGGTCCAGTCAGTCCACCTCCAAGGTGTCCTGCATTGGCCGACATTCCCAATCCACCTGGAAGTTGACCACCACCATGTAAGCCCACATCAGGACTCTGAGAAGTCACTGCCGGTCCACCATAGACTGCACCACCTTGATGATGTCCAGGATTCATCCCACATCCACCATCGAAACCCAGGACACTCTGCGTTCCAGGAGAGTGAGTCACCATTGGAGAAACTGGTTGGCTCCACATCATGCCACCTCCAAGTCCAGCGGTCTGACCTCCTTGATGAAGTCCATGATGCGCAGACATAGGTTGCACCCCAGGCTGCACTGCCACCAAAGATGACGTAGGAGCTCCCTGCAAAGAAGGCATTGGTGGAACCATCCTTCCATTCGCTCCAGGCCCACTCGAAGCTGTGTGGTAAGAGCGCACCTCACCCTCCGGCTCCTCGCCCTTCAACTTCTTCGCTTCTCTGATGAAGCTTTCCTCTGCTGCCTTCACAATCCTCAGCCGAAGTGCTTCCACTGACTTCTCCGGCGACGGTTGCGACAGAGCTCCACTCAGACCAGCTTGAAGAGATCCAGCACCACCATCAAGTAGCGCTCCATTGGCCTGCACAAGGCCTGCTTGTTGTCCTTCTGCACCAAGGGCCTGCCCAGGGCCGATGCCACCAGTTGCAACCCAGCTTGAAGAGGCCTGCACAGGGCCTGCACCAGCTATCATGCCGCGCGAAGAGGCCTGCTCAGGACCTATGCCATTAGCCGCACAGCGCAAAGAGGCCTGCTCAGGGCCAATGCCACCAGATGCACAGCGCGAGGCCTGCTCAGGGCCAATGCTACCAGCCATGCCACCAGGATGAAGATGTCCCGAACCTCCACAACCTTCACCATGGGCCTGCACAGGGCCGTAAGACACCGGCGGGCCAGCAAGCGGCGGCAATGCCTGAGGCCTTGCAACATCCGGCACTCCCTCAAGTGCTGCTGCCCTTCTGACTTCACTGCTCCAGAAGGCATTGACACCAGGCTGAACCATCAGAGCTCCAGCACTGTCACGATCATGGCCAAACCGGCCATCTGCTGCCTCGGACAAGGTCATGCCATCACAGTATCCCGAACCTCGTCCTTGGCCAGCATCTCGTTGATCCTGAGCTGATAGTTGACCAGCTCCAGCGGCACTAGAAAACTCTGCCACCTCGGCCGGACGAATCTCATCATCTTCGTCCAACCTCCTGTGGAAAACTCGTGGGGCTTCCTCCTGTCCAAGGTCCTGAAACAGTGGAGCCAACAGGCCATCCGGCACAGGGGTCCCTGATCCTACTGGCAGCAAACCCGTGGACCCAGCAGCTTCACCTTCTCCTCGACCATCACGTCGGGGTCCCGGGCTTGAAGCTGCAGCTCTTCCCTCCTCCACCATCAGTCTTCTGACCTCAGGCACCGGGGAGCTGATCCTCGAGTTCCGCTCCATGGCGATCAAGCGGTCCAAGCGCTCGTCAGCCGTCTCGCGCAGCTGCCGCCTTCGACGGTCCATGGCCGCGCACAACGCGGAGTTCACCCAAGCGCCGTAGCACTTGGGCTCATAACCTGCGATCCCCAAACGGGGGAAAAAACCCGAAGCAGCAGCGGCTGCCTCTTTCTTGAGCCATCCAAAAGGTAGCGTGTCATCGCTTGTGCAGGGGTCATGCCAGTGAGACGACTGAAGCATGTAAAACCCCTGAGACATGTGAACACTTCTTGATTTGCGCGTGTCCATCCAAATTGAAAATGGCACCACAGTGAGAAATCACACTCCACATACCTGTGAGTGCTGGCTCAGCCGCTGCTGCGAACGTGGGTGGTAGATGCAACGCTCAGCTCGCCATAGGGGCCTTGTTGCGTCGTCGTCTCCGGTTTCTCCGTCCTACTTGGAGCTGTCTTGGTATTCCTTGCTGTGGCTTGCTGATTGGTGGATCACTATGGTGATCCTTGTGGCTTGGCTGCTTTCTCGATGCTGACGCCGATATGTGACGATTTCGTCCGGATCGCAGGCCGCTGGGCCGCTGGGCGAAGTGAATCCCTGACTGAGGAGATCTGGGACAACGGGGTGCTGATTTCCAGCAGCTCACCCGGCATATCGACGGCCTTGAGACCCGTTTTCCATAGTTATGTTAGTTTACCAGAGGGTAGATCCCAATAGTAAACCATCACCAAGTTTGAGGTTTATTGTTGGGTATACAGAAATATTTGGGATGCTCTGCTAAACCAATTGTGGGTTGATGTAAGATGTTAACAATAGTGGGATAATAATGAATCAATTATGGTATAACAACAATGAATATGAAAACCATTGTTTTTCCTAAGACATATGAAGGTTTCCTGCAAATTGTTCCTTAAAACAATCCATTGAGACAAGTAACTGCGGATACCCCATAAATCTTGAACTGGAGTATCAGTTTCTACCAGAAAATGGTTGGCGTGCTACTACAAGGTAGGGCCCTCAACTTGTAACTTGCTTTATGAAACCCAGGAACACTATAGTCATTTCATTACCATTACCCCAGTGATAGTACAGTTATAGCCCTTAAGAGTTATTGCAATGGGATACTCCTGCAACTAAGGTTGTGCATCACTTTTTTTGGGCGCCAGTTGTAACTGTTAAGGGACAGACCTGAGCTCGGTTTCTAACCACCATGAACTAGTTCGATCCATGAACTAGTTCGATCCATGAACTAGTTCGATCCATGAACCCAAACGTTCAATTGGAGCTATATAAGTTATATTTACCAGCTTTGCGGTTTTTCGCTCACTGGGGCAGCACCTCGGAAAAATGTGGGATTTGTTTGGGCCCAAGACGAGTTACTTGGGGTTGCAGGCGAGAGGTCACTCAAAAATGGGTAGTCAGCCATGGTGGTTGTCAGCCCCATAAGTTGGGGATATGGGGCCCCCATGGCAACTATGGTGAACTATGGTGAACTATGTTATCTGGACCTGCACTTCCAAGTGGAAAAGGCAACGCCCATTAAAGTGGTACGTGACCACCCTTCAATCATTGGTCATGTTCTATCTTTTTTGGGGTTCCTCTAAGTCAAACAAATTGGGTTCGACAGGGTTGATGCCAACTTGTCAAACATATAACATCGTACAACTCTTGGACGGACACCTTCAATCCATGACATTTTCGGGCAGGGTGCAATGTGGTGAGGACTTTCATGAAGATCCCCGGTGGGCAATGTGGTTTCGACCCTCGTTTCGGAAGTATATAATTCCTCGGGCTAGTCCATGTACACCTGGGGTTAGATCATGTCAGAGTCATACTTTTCATGGGGATATGGGGGCTACCATTCCAAATGCCCCCTGATTTCTTCCCAAATCAGGGGTTCACAACCACCATTGGAGGGTTAAAAAAATTGATGGGTCAGGATCGATGAGACCCAAAGCCGCAAGTCTTCCAACCAGGACATGGTTGGCCAGGAGAAATTCCTAACTTGGAGCAAACCCAATTGTCAATAAAGATGGGAACTAAAGTAACTAAAGGCATGAAACCATATCATAGCCGCCATAGGTCACGTTTCAGTAAGAAGTCAGTCAGGCTGTGCAGCTTTTGATTCCCCATCCTCAGCTTGGCCACTGGTGTCCCCACCGGGAAAAGCTCGGGATCTCCATCGTCTTAGTGCAGCCTTGATCAGACTGGTTTGCAATGCACTTTGACATACTTCTACTGTATTTTTTTAAAATGTCTGTTTAAAACCATTATTTTTGGTTGACTTGAAGTGACTGTTTGTTTCTACCTTAGCTTAACCATCATACTCGTATCCTCTTGCAATGATGTTCTTATATGTTCTTATTACGAAAAAGGAGTTTCCATTCAAACTGCACATTACCAGCTTGCTTCTTCAGGATGTGAACAGAGAACCAAGCCACATGATGTATGGAGTATGCACTAACCTTCACCCCGAAAATGGCCCAAACATGGGCAACCAATCCTTAGACAGACTTGGTGTGGACACCAGTGGATACTGAGGAAAATCCTATATGTTTATGGATATTTATGGTATGAAATGAATAGAACGTGATGATCTTATATGCTAAAGATTGGTGGTAACTGGCTTATAACTGGCTTACAACTGGCTTAGAACCCGATTTAAGTGGTGATATATAACCTTAGTATGCCTTAGTTGGAGGAGTTATGATACCATTTACCTCTTGAGGGCCAGAACTGTACCCATGTATACCCTCACGCGGAGCAGGCTGTGCATTGGGCCATGGCAACGTGGTCTTTGAGGCGCGAAAGGAATTCCAGTGGGCCATGAAACATGCTTCCCTTGATTGGTTGTGGTGGCCTATACCCCCAGTGAATGTTTCTTGGTCTAATTACCCTTTGGTTATTTAACATAGCCATGGAAGCCATGGCCCATTTATAGATGATTTTCCCATGAATACCTTGATTTATAATGGATTTTCCATGGCGAACTGTTAGTCATAACCAGATGGTAATTGGACCAACCTCCCCCCATGATTTGTAAATGTGTCTACCATAAAGAACCATAGTTGATGGGACTTGCAAATTGGGCTTCACTATCAATTTGTAGAGGTATTAGGTGTTTTTATTTTGTAGTCAAAGGTATTGGGGGCATCATTTAGAAACAAACCAACCATTGGGGGTTTTATGCCGGTTTTAAGCATCACACATTTGGGGTTGTTGTCGATAAATGAGGGTTGATTGATGATTACAGGAGATTATAGAATCTGGTTTAATGGGGATTATTACGGTACCAGTAGTAGCGCACAATGGTTGTTGTGAATCACGGATGGCAGAGCGAAGCCACTGATGGATCGAAAGGTGATTGATGTCTCCTCTCTTTCTCCTACTCTATCTACGTATATACCTATCTACCTATGTATCTATCTATCTTTATATCTATCTATCTGTCTATCTATGTATCTATCTATCTATCTATCTTTCTATCTATCTATCTATCTATCCATCTATCCATCTATCTATCTATCTACCCATCTATCCATCTATCTATCTATCTACTTATCTATCTGTCTATCTCTCTCTCTCATCTGTCTAGCTGTCTACCTGTCTATCTGTCTATCTATCTGTCTGTCTATCTGTCTACCTGTAAATCTGTGGTGCAGCGTCATTCAGTGTGATGTAGTGTAGTGTAGTGGAGTGTAGTGGAATGTAGTGTAGTGGAGTGTAGTGTAGTGTAGTGTAATTTAGTGTAGCGAAGTGTAGTGGAGTGTAGTTGTAGTTGTAGTTGTAGTGTAGTTGAGTGTAGCGTAGTGTAGTGTAGTGTAGTGAAGTGTAGTGAGAGGTAGTGTAGCGTAGTGTAGTGTAATGTAGCGTAGTGTAGTGGCGTGTGGTGTGGTGTAATTTAGTGTAGTGGAGTGGAGTGGAGTGTAGTGGAGTGTAGTGGTGTGTAGCGTAGTGGAGTGTAGTCGAGTGTAGTTGTGTAGTTGTAGTTGTAGTGTAGTGGAGTGTAGTGTAATGTAGTGAAGTGTAGCGGACGGTAGTGTAGTGTAGTGTAGAGTAGTGTAGAGTAATGTAGTGGAGTGTAGTGGAGTGCAGTGGAGTGTAGTGTAGTGGAGTGTAGTTGTGTAGTTGTAGTTGTAGTGTTGTGGAGTGTAGTGTAGTGTAATGTAGTGGAGTGTAGTGGAAGGTAGTGTAGTCTAGTGTAATGTAGTGTAGTGGAGTGTAGTGTAGTGTAATGTAGTGTAGTGGAAGGTAGTGTAGTGTAGTGTAATGTAGTGTAGTGTAGTACAATGTAGTGTAGTGTCGTGTAATGTAGTGTAGCGGAGGGTAGTGTAGTGTAGAGTAATGTAGTATAGTGTAGTGTAGTGGAGTGTAGTGTAGTGTAATGTAGTGTAGTGTAATTGAACGTAATTGAGTGTAATTGAGTGTAGTGTAGTGGAGTGTATTGGGTGTAGTGGAGTGTAACGTAGTGGAATGTAGTGAAGGTGTAGTTGTATAGTTGTAGTGTAGTGTGGTGTAGTGGTGGTGGTAGTTGAAAATGCTACAAGACCCTCACGTTTTGCTCACTTTTGACAAGGTGCAAAATTCCTTGCACCTAGGCGAAACGACATCTGAACCTCCAAAAATGGTCCGTACATGGTGTGCTTTGTACATTTTGACTTTGAAATGAGCTTCGCGCCACAACTGCGTGCACTTTTTCGACATCTCAACCTCCAAAAATGGTCCGTACATGGTGTGCTTTGTACATTTTGACTTGGAAATGTGCTTCGCGCCACAACTGCGTGCAATTTTTCGACATCTCAACTTCCAAAAGTGCTCCGAACGTGGTGTGTTTTGTATATTTTGACTTGGAAATGTGCTTCGCGCCACGACGGCGTGCACTTTTTCGACATCTCAACTGCCAAAAGTGGTCCGAGAATGGTGTGTTTTGTACATTTTCACTTCGAAATATGCTTCGCGCCACAACGGCGTGCAATTTGTCATCTCTCGTCTGGCCAGCTGGCTCCGCACCCGCCGCTTTATAGCGAGCCTACTTTTCGACCCTCCGGAGCCACAAATCATTATGAAAACACAGTGTTTCGCGACTTTCCTACCTTTTCGCGCATCTGCATCTTCTTTCTTCTGACTCTTTCTCTTCTACTCTTCTTTCTTCTAATCTTTCTCTCTTCTAACTCTTTCTCTTCTACTCTTCTTTCTTCTAATCTTTCTCTTCTCTCTGCCTCTTCCCTGCTCTGCTTTTCATCTGTCCATATTGTCGGAAGTTTGACTTCTAAACTTCCTTCGATAATTACCAAATCATAATGGAGATTCTTAATGCAGATTCCTTAAACCAGATTAATGGTTGTGTAATTCTCGTTTATAGATGAATGGAGATTATTACAATCCATTACCTTTTCAACCATGATCAGACAGGATGACTACAGGATAGGGTCCTGGGGTATTGCTCATGGCTCAGACGGCTTTGTTTGAAAATACACGAAGGGCCCCCATACATCATATGATGTTATGTTCATTTTCAAACAACAACTATTTACAGAGCTTACACAATTTATATCAATTTATGATTTCTAATAAATCTATATCAGCTAAGTTGTTTATGCTGATTTTCTAGTTTGGTGGGTTTACAGAGCAACTTTTAACTGGGGGGCACCACCTTGTAGAGTAACCCGAAGTTTGATGAGTAAAACCGCGTTTTCACATCTGTTCCTTATTGGAATGGCCGTTTGGGGGCAATCCCAATTGTGAGACACACGGGTTTTTGGGGACTTGGAAACTTTCTGTTTGGGGGGGGGAACCAGTGTAAATCGACTCAATCCGGTGATATCCGGTGATAACCAGGAATACAGGTATGTTCCTGAGTTCAAAACTCCACACGCCAGCCTTGCTCCTTGCTGTTTGATTCAGCCCCGCGGGCATTTACGGAGTGGCTCAACCGGCTCAACCTGCTGAAACATGCCTTTCCCACAGCATTTTGTGATCCAGGCGGACAACACGATCCGTGAACACAAGAACAACACGATTCTCCATTGGCTGGCGCTCCTGGTTAGCACGAGTCAGTTTCGCAGCTGTCACTCTGAACTACTTACGGGCGGGCCATACTCACGAAGACGTCGACCAGGTGTTCGGCATTCTGGCATCGTGTCTGCGGCAAGACGACATCATTCCCGACAGTCGAGCCGTGTGTCGTGCCGGGCATCGCTTTCCTGAAGGACATATGTTTTTTTGGTTGCCCACAGTTATGGCCCTTTACCAGTTATAAGTACTTATAACCCCATTTATAGAATGTATATATAATCCCATTTATAACCAGTTATAACTAATAAATTGCCATAACTGCACAGGTTCAAAAGGAGGTTTGGAATTCCACATATCTCCGCATATGAGAATCCTGAAATCATGTTTTTGTCCAACATATTTTCACAAATATTGATAACTTGTTTTTTTACCAAACCCCTCCCAGCCTTGGTACCTTTCACTACAAGTGGGCAGGGCGTGATCCTTTTCCCGGCGGGGCGTTACTCATGACCAATGATAATCATGATCGCCCAAATCGGTTGCCAATCTGATGCTTGGATTTGCTTGGAGAACCCCAGAAGTTAGAAAAGCATTTTCTTCTAGCTATATGGATGTATCTTGCTATATGAAATCCCACCTTTAAGTTGTTGTTGACTCCCAGTTGCTAATCAAGCCTAGCTGGCCTTTTCGCTTCCTTGGGATCACCTGCGCTTTTCACCAAGCTACAGGGCAGGCAAAGCCTGGCTGTTTCCAGCCCCATTAGAAGGATGGCCTAGCTCGATCTGGTTGGTATTCTGATGTTTGTTTGGTAGCCATGTGTGGAACGATCAGGTAGTAAGGTAGTGAGTAGTAGTGATCAGTAGTGATTCAAAAACACCATTTTGATCCATTTTGCACTTGGAGAATGTATGAGAATCTGACATTCCACCGCTTTCCATGTTTTATACCCCTTCAATGAGCTGCAAGTGTTTCAGGCCCTCATTCCTTTTCCTGCAGGAAGGATTGTTCTTTTGTTGCACACGTACCCCTTGAGATACCCAGGTGGTAGCATAAACCACCATTTCCCAGATTTTGCTGTTCAGATTACATATGGTGATCGATCTAAAGGTCCTGGTAAGGAGTTTTAATTGCGAAAGCCGTGCATGTTATGTTGGAAACCCTCGCGGAAGTTTTTTTTCGAGTTCGCGAAAGTAAAATTTTATTTCGCGAAAGTTTCGCGAAAGTTGGGTATTATAATCATTATATGTAAAGGGCTGCCACCCACTGCCGCCCGGGGTCCGGCAGGAGAAGGGCACCAGAGAATGCGAGTAGCAGTAGCCAAGTTTCCAAAAGTGAGGCTTTGCGAGAGCCAAACACCAAGGCCCCTGGTCTTCGCTTTTCCTTCAGTGCACCCCCTGCTGATGGCCGGGGTCTGTGAATAGGGATATTTTCGCGAAAGTTCCGCGAAAGTTATGCGAAAGAGCGGGCGAAAGTCAAAGTGCATGTTGAAGGGGGTGGGCCAGTAAACTTTGCAAAAAAAAATTGTCCTGAGAAGGGATTCCGTGATGCTAGCTGCATGTTTAAAAGGCTACCAAGAAGTGATCCGTGATTCTCTGGCGTAATTTGGCAGGTGGTGAACGAATCTTCATAAGAGGTGTTGTTGGCCAACATGGGCCCCGCGAAAGATAAACATGGAGTTCGCGAAAGTTTCGCGAAAGTATTTGTTTATTCGCGAAGAATGGCCGTTCCGGGATAAAGGAATTTTGATCAACAACCATATATTACATAATATATATATATTACATAGTTACTTTTTTGTTAAACCAACGTTTACGGAAGCCGAATCCCAACTTGTTGAGGTCCAGGATTGGATATCAACTTTATAATGCCTGTTGAATATGTTTGGATGTCATATGGAGTTGTTTGAAAATAGGTTACCCCAACATTTGTTGCTTCATAATCATTTTCAATTACCCTCTGGTAAACTAACATACTCGTAGCTATTGAAAATGGCAATAGAAATAGTTGTTTTACCCATTAAATAATGGCGATCTTCCATAGTTTTTTGTATGTTTACCAGAGTGTAACATTTCACCAATCAGGTAATTAACCACTATTAGCAATTATCAACCATGATTAATCACTATTAACTATGATTAACCATCATAAACCATGGTAATCATCCACGTTTGTTCAACTCTGCCCCCGGATCGCAGGCGGTGCCCATCTGGTCCATGGTGGCTGCCTGTCATGGCCGCGCAGTGGTGCTCCAGGTGGAGAAATCATCGGAGTTCCAACGCGCGACGTAAACCGCTGATTCCACGAAGAAGACATGGTGAAAATGGATGACTGGTTGGTGGTTTGGAACATGATTTTTATTTTCCCCAATAGCTGGGATGATTATCCAATCTGACTTTCATATTTCCGGGGGGTAGGCAATGGTAGGTATACCACCAATTAGATGAACATGGGAGGTATAGCCAGCAAACATGCTGGTTTTAACATTTTTTAACACAAGAAAATGTGACGAAATGAATCAACATAATGGAACTATGGATGTTATGGATGTTACCACAAAAAACATGTTGTTTCACCATGGAAAAAAAAGGGCCTTCAGTAGGTATTTTAAGGGGAATTCTTGGCAGAAAGAATTGTTCAGTATCGTTGGGCGGCTCAGATTCCCTGCTTAACAGTTTAACAGGTGGTGAAAACACCAAAAATATGCTACTGGATGAGTCTCCCCCATGATTCCCCTAAAGCTTAATCTAGCGGATTCCCACAATGTGAGGCCCCCCAGTGATGTGAACGTTGGTTTATAATTAAGCCCCAGTAACTATAGTTATTTGCGTACCATAAACCATAGTGAAATTGGAGTTATGTTCACCAACTTAGCTATCGAACGGGGGCCTCACATTGCAGCTATTTTGGTATGAAGAGAAGGATACGAGGCTTTTGACGCCAAAGGCTGGTGCCACAGTCGACTTCGCACGGCTTCGCACGAGTTCACGTCCCGCGTACGTCGGCTGTGTCGCACGTGCTGTTGTCTGGAGATGCGGCAGCTTCCCCGTCGCAAATGCTTCATCTTATAATCTGATCTTATCCATCCAGACCATCATAGACCATACATATAGAATCATATAGATATAGATAGAATATATATATATATATGTATAGCTATTATCCTGAAATTGAATGGAAACTCGAAAATCAGGAAACCTGTTAGTTAGCTTGGCAAAAGGTTGGGGGCAAAATCTAGGCTTTCCTGTCGATTTGTTTAGCCATTGAGGGAGTCTAACATGATCTAATTATCTACAGTCATCGAGTTATGGCCCTTAAATGTCATGGCCATGGGATGAAATAGATCCTGCAACTAGGCCATGTAAAGAATATCACCTATAAATGACTTGCCTCCCTGGCACTGTAGGTGAAGAATTCCCCATTTGTTTATAGTCCCATGGATGTGTCATGAATGTGTGTATATATATAATAATAATCCCATGATCATTATCCCATGATATTTATATGATATATATTTTATATATTCCTTTTATCATATTATGAGTATTTAAATAGATGAAAAATCGATTTAATAGATTTTCATCATTTTCATAATCCATGGGATAAATATTCATCACAATCTCCATGGATTATAAAACATATATCATGATTTTCCTCTCCAACAAATATATAACATCCCATGATATCGGAAAAATCCCCATGGATTTTCCTCTCCAAGCCACCTTTCACCACGCCATGATCTGCGGCTGCGCAGGTGGATGGCATTTGGCGCCTGACCCCTCCCCACGTCTTAGATCTGACCTCTGCGCAGGCGAGGCGCAGTGCGTGGTGCATAGCCCACCTTAAAAGGTTACGGCCATGTGCTGACTGCCACTGGTTGGTTACATCATATATAGATGTAAAAATATATATATATATATATACGTGTATGTATATATATATATGATTATATATGTATATGTATATGTGTGTATATATATATATATAGACACGGTATATAACTTGAAGGTTTTCTTAGCCTCTTATTTCACTGATAAAGGCCATACATCGTGTAAATGCATGTAAATAGTGATTCAAGACAATGAGGGCATAAACTCATTCCCTGGATAGAATGCCATATGCTGATCGTTTGACCAGATAATATGTCGTGTTAACACAAGCAGATGCCCAAAAGAGTGGATATCCATCCTTCAAAGGCATTCCTTGAACAACAGCATGCAAGCATAATAAGTCAACCTAACACCTATGCAGATTTTGGAGTACCTCTTTGGGTTGCTTGCAAGTGATTTTGCTTCGTTTTGAACCGGTGCAGTCGCACTATTTTCAGGAGAGACACAGCAGCTACATCTCGATAGTATCTTGGTATGACATGGATGTTGGTGAACATGGCGGATACCCACCCGTAAATACATACACTACAGTCAGTATGTGCATGTCTATATTAATATTTAAATACACAGTACATATACAGTTTGCTCCAATTTTCAGTGTGTTCCAATGTTCATGGAACATACGATTTTTCAATGATAAGTCATATTCAATGATATTGTGGGGTGTCCCATGGCTTCTGTAGTTCGAGATAATGAATTTTCCTCTGGCTGCAAGGGATCGGATGCCTTGTCAGTTGTATTCGGGTCTCATGGGTCTCCAATTTCCATTGACGTCCCCTATTTTTATCATAGAATTGGATGATGGGAAAGTTTACAGGAAACCCCGATCAATTTCATGGTAAAAACCCATGGGTTTCCGGTTAAGATTTTTCCTTCAACCAATCCATTGATTTTAACATGGCCCCACAAAAATGTGGTTGGAAGATGGCGACCAGCTGCTATTCAACATAGCTTGAGATCAGGTGGATCTCTTGGTGCATGGAGCTGCAAACGTTGAGCTGCAAACGAACTTGATATACCCATTGGTTATGACCAACAGTTCGCCACGGTATAGATGGCCCATAGAAATAGATGGTTTACCTCTTAAAAAAAGGGGATTTTCCATGGCTATGTTAAATAACCAGAGGGTAACTTGATGCTCGAATTTGCGCAGGATCAGTGGTTCTTCCTTACAAGAATAGCATAAATATGCATAAATCATCAGCAGAAGGTTGCCATAACCAAGTGATTTCTTTGATCTCTTTGTGTTGGCATCCCGCTTGATCAAGGGTAAAGAGACAGCCTTTTGGCGGTTGAGTGGTTGCACATTTTGAGGGAATTACATATGGAACTATTGCATATGCAAAATGCCAAATTCATATACCATCTGGTTATGACTCACATAGCCATGGAAAACCACCATTTTTAACAGGTAAACCATCTATTTCTATGGGCCATCTATCCCATGGCGAACTGTTAGTCACAACCAGAGGGTAGAAGTCATTCCCAACAATCCTCCGTACGGTGGTGGTCTACCTACAAGTGGGGCTGGGGGACCACATCTGTTTGTTTTCCATCCTACCTTCAAAGTGCCCCCCCTACTTCTAAGTTGGTTGACAGCATATTATCACCCATTGAGCTATATCAGGCTATATCCAAATATTTACACTATGCACTGTTTTGTTTGAGTTACCAAGTTTTCTTAACCTTTCCAAAATCAACCTTTCCATATCAATCCCATATCAGATTATCAAGCCCTGTTTTCTTTTCTTGAGTTTCCCATTTCCCACATGCCGTGCACGGCCACTGGGCTCCCAGGCCGAGGGTCTGGCGAACCAAAGTCTGAGCGAAGGCTTTCAGCGCTGCTCGACGGCGAACTCGGACGGCTTTCGTTCACGACTGGTGAAGCTTGGGGTTGGGGATATAACAATAACTATGGCTTATGGCATTTATAACTATAATCTGGTTGGTGGTGACTGGAACCATGGAATGGATTATGACTTGATGAATAATGATGTGTTAATCATGGTTAATCACATGGTTAATCATTTGGTGAATAATGATTAATAATTGTTAATAATGGATAATCATGGATTCGGACAATGGGACTTACCCGGCCTGGTAACCAAACATAGCGAACTGGAAAATCTCCATAGAAATAATTGATTTAGCCAGCTATAAAATGGTTTATGATATTTATAACTATAATATTTATGATATTTATAACTATAATCTGGTTGGTGGTTATGAAATTTATAATATTTTTCAGAGGGGTAGGCTCAACCACCAACCAGTAACAATGGGCCAATGGGTAAAGCTTCACCAAGGGGGATATAACCTGGTTGGTGGTTTGGAATGTCATCATCCCACCTGACTAATGACTTTCATATTTTTGAGAGGGCTAGGCTCAACCACCAATGGGCCAATGGGTAATGAACTGTGGGTCCTGTGGGTAAATGGGTGCCATGGGATGTTTGATGTTCCATTTTGACATCCATAGCCAGCACAGTTCATGTAGTTTATGGATGTTACCTCACACTGGCTGCCTCACCTTGAGCTAGTTGAGTTTCCCAAGCACATGATGCCATCTGGTAAACAAACAAAAAGCTATTGAAAATGGCCATAGAAATAGTGGATTTACCCATTAATGGCATGGTGATTTTCCAGGTCGTTATGTAAACGTTTACCAGAGGGTAAGCTCAACGTTGACCTGTTTGATTTGTATGGTAGATGTGTGATTTATTACACTCTGTTTGTTCAGGTTTTACATCCCAAAAATGATGTTTATATCCAATGAACTCCGACTGGTGATGGTTCATGAATGTTCATGATATGATGGCTTTGCCTGCCTCATCATTTTGTGTTTTTCCGATCAAAGGCCAAGAACGGTTTCTGACATACCATCTTGAAGTATCAGTATAATATATTGAATACATATATACTGTATATATATATATATATACATTCTGATATTCTATCTGACATTCTTTCTGGCACATGCGTATTACTCTTACATTCTGGTATTCTATCTGGCATCTATTCTGACATTCTCTCTGACATTGGCACTGCCCACTGCAATCTGGAGTTCACGGTTGCGGTCCGGCAGTGCTCACTGAGATCTGGAGTTCGCTGTTGGGGGAAGGAGGAGGAAGGAAGGAAGGAAGGAAGGAAGGAAGGACGGAGGATATAACTCCGATAAAATCTAGAGACCCTCACCTGGCAGGTGGGGAAAAACACCATTGAAATTATATATCGAAATCCTATAGATGTTCTTCCCGTCATTTTCGGAAAAGTATGTTAACTTTCAATTCCCATCAATTTCCCATAAACAACTGGTGTTTCCCCTTCCTGATGCTTGAAACCCCTGGTTTCCCACGTGTTAAAACCCATGGTGTTTTCCGTGTCGCCTCTTAGGTGAATCAGCCCAGGGCCGGCCACGGAGATTTGTGGATGCAGATGTTGCTTGGTGCCGTTTTTAATCCAAACTGGGATGCCGTTTGCGGGTTATTTCTTGGGTGTGCATACATATACCCTCTGGTTATTTAACATAGCCATGGAAACTGGCCCATTTATAGATGGTTTACCTATTATAAATAGTGATTTTCAATGGCTACGTTAAATAACCAGATGGCAATCCATAGATCACTCATATATAACCCATATATAATCCATATAATCCAAGGGTTACTTAGGAACCGTGGTTTATAATCCATATGTCACCCATATTTCGTCCCGTATATAAGTGGGATTAAGTGGGGATATTCCATAAATCTAACGGTTTTTTTTATATTTACGAAACGTGGGGCCCGCACCCCCAAGTGGGGAGTACGTTGATGAAATTTATGCGGTCACCTCATGAAAGACCTAAAGATAGAATAGTCATCAATAGTCTGAGTTTTTGGGATATTTTTTTATATACTTGGGGATATAGTAAGGGGATGTTTTAGGATTTTTAAATGTAAAATTTGCCATGCTTGAGGGTGCATTTTTTTATAAGATCAGAAATTGGTAAAACCCTATCTAGTTGGTGGTTGGAACATTTTTTATTTTTCCGTATAGTGGGAATAAAAATCCCAACTGACTAATATTTTTTTCAGAGTGGTTGAAACCACAAACAAGATAAGTTGGGATATGCGATCTAACTATGCACCGCTTAGTTCTCTGGAACCGCACTTCCAAGTACAAGGTGGGGTCCCAAAACGATAGCAAAGTTGGTCTATAACCAGGTGAATTCTGTGGTTACAGGGGTTAACCAAGTTAAAACTGGGAGGCACCACCTAGATTCAACATCTCCCGAAACCATCATAGACCCTGAAAATGTCTGAGAATAGCCAGTTGTTAGGAGGAAAGTATCCGTCCAAACCCGTATTTTGGGTCTATATTAGTTGGCGTATTTGGGTCTGTATTAGTTTGGGGGAGTAACTGTCGATGTCCCATATTGTAATTCTATTTTAATTCTAAATATGGTCATGGATTGTTGCAAGGTGGGGCAGCTTACGATTGATTCAATGGGATGTTTACCTGGGGAAGTGACTGCAAAGAAAAGTCTACATTATCACTAAGACTTTGTTTTGTTTTTACCCTAAAAAAACATTTCAATCAATGGGACATTTCATGGGATATGCTGGGATTAATCGTGGTTGGCTCAGGGTATGGTTCACCACTGAAGACTCTGATTTGACCACCAAATATGGGGAGAACGGATCCAAGTTGACTACACAGATCTGGTTGGTGGTTTGGAACTTTTGTTTGATTTTCCATTCAGTTGGGAACAATAATCCCATTTGACTTTCATATTTTCAGAGGGGTAGGGCTCAACCACCAACCAGCAGATGTTGGTAGAGCTGCGAGGCGTTCCTCAAAAATCGAGTCTTGCGACTCGCCGGGTGCTTCAGAGCCTTGCTGATTTAGGGTAAACTCAACGATGATCTTCTATAGGGATGATAGAGAGCTGCTACGACCCCGTATTTATACAAATATGTATAATATATATCCAAATCCATTTTTGCTTGAGACACAATGTCTTACCATTTGCAAATCCTGGAGGGTGTTTGTCCAAAGCGTGTCACAGGGGACCACCCTCTCACATCTATCGAAAAATCTGCACTTCAAATAGCTGGAACAACAAACAGCTGGGCCAACAGAGGTGAGCTCTCCTGCATCCGGGGAACAGAGTTCTACAAAAAGATGGACCTCGAGACTCAAAAAGCAGGGCCCCCTCCCCAAGCTATAGCTGCACAAGATGAAGCAGCTAAGAAGGAGATGGCCGCGGCCGAGAGAGGGACCATTGGGGCATTCTCAAGCTTTGTTAAGGACCTGGTGACGTGGTCTGTCCCCAGCCTGTCGAGCAGTTCTGAGAAGGTGCCCCAAGAAGAACCTAAGACGAGTGATGGCCTCATGTCGTATGCTGAAGCCGAAGCAAGCGCGGAGGCAGCGGAAATTGAGCACACAGAAGGCCCTATGCCCTCCTCTCCCGTGGATAAGGATTACCGTCTGGCGACACGGGCGGAAACAGCTTTGGAGATAGGCCGAGAGGCTTTTGGCCATTTGCAGCTATCTCACATGGGTGGTTCGATAATTAATGCTGATACATGTATAACTGTTAATTGTTTGGGTGTGTCTGAAAACGGCGTACCGTCCCCCACACTCGTTAGAAAATAAATTTGGATATATAAAACGAAAGCGGTACCCTTTTTCAGACAAACCCATATGGGATATAAACCTGATAAAGATAGTATACAAATAAATATACATAATACATATTTAAATATACACAATTATATACACACATACATACATATACTTTTTTTTTGCGCGAAAGTCCTGTCAAAAGTTTCCTTTGACACGTCTAGCTTGCCTTTCTTGGCACAAGTATCGTGCAGACTGCTTGCACTTTGGTGCTGCAATGCACATTGTAACAATCTTTGGCCTGAGCAAAGTCATTTCTTGGGACAGTACCACTAAAGTAGTGGCTAAGCAGGTGGGTGGGTTGGAAAAAGCAAGATCAGCCAAGCTCCAGGTAAGTGATACCCCAGCACAGGCCATGCACATTTAGGATAGGGGTACTATGTGGCCTCCTGGGGGTTCTATGCCACACCTGTCCTTCAGGGGTCCCATGTGTCCTCTCAACCGGCGCTGGAACGACATGGACTGGGACTTGTCCCCAATGAGCAGGCACAATTATCAATCCATCTCGAAGACTGTTAGCGAACACTTCAGGTGCGGCAATGAAAGCACGTACAAAAGGCTTGCGTACGAGATATCTCGTGGCCAGAGCGGGAGGACGAAGCCTAAGATGGAGAGGGATGAACAGCTGTCATCTTCCTTAGAGACAATGTTGGTGACTGACGGGCTGAAGGAAATTGAGGCTTTGTCACCATTCGTTCGCATGTATCTTGGTGAATCTAGGAGCCAGGAGACCTATGAGGAAATCTTTTCAGAATACCTTGGTATGCAGGACCTCGCTCTCAAAGGTCAGGATGGACAGGCCCAGCCTGGGTTGAGTGTCGGGGTTGCACTCACCTATTGTGGCGTGACAATCAATGTCAAGGAGCCAGCCCAGTGGAGCTTTGACCATTTCGTCAAGCCAGCAAGCTATCTGTCTCAGTTAGAAGGAGGAGAAGGTAGTCGCTTCTTGATCCTCTCGCCACAGGCAGCACCATTTGAGTCAGGTGACACGTACTATGGGCTCTACACAGTGGAGAAGACGAACTGGGTGTTCGTGGTGGAGGTTATCTCTGGGATCGTCAGCTCAGTTTTCATGTACAGGACAGCAGGGCCGCCTTGTGTGCTGCCTTACAAGCTGACAGGTCCACCGGCGGGTGAAGGAAGCATGCTGGAACAAGGTCAAGAGGATGCCCCAGGTCCGTCCGGGGATCCAGCTTATACCGAAGGCGCAATGGATGAACCCAAGGATGAGAAGACAGTGAGAAGTGACCTGATCGCACACCTGTCTGAAAGCATGGAGGCCGACCCTGAGAAAGCTGAGGTTTATGAAGTCCTCCTGGAGATAGCACGTAAGGTCCCACAGGGTTCCTTAGAGGATGAGAAAAAGTTCTCTGATATGCCGAGAGACCTCAAATTCATTGGAGGCTGGGAAAAGCACAAGGAACTCAAGGGGTACCTGGCTGCCCTGGCGAGGGAGGTCGCCCTGCATGAGGCCTCCATAGCTCAACTCAAGGAGGCCGTCCACAACACCATCTTTTTCTCTGCAATGGGCGGGCTGACCCAGATCGACTCTGTGTGTGGCTTCCCCCAGTTATCCCCTGCGTACGACTGGTTAGCCTCGGTTGGAGCAGGGCGATGCTGCTGTCGATCAGTCCCTCATGCTGTAGAGAGCATCATCTGTGAGTCACTTGAGGGAGATAGCCCCATGGAAAAATGGGCCTCAATCGTGGCAAAAGTCGAGAAAGGGGCTACTTATGACCATGGTGGGGGCGGTTTCCGAGGCATATACCCAGATCTTTTCCTCGATCGAGCCTAAGAACATCCTATTGAAAACTGGCGTCCATCACCTTGTGTTCCTCAACGGTGAGTCCAGTGCAGGTCACCTATTCGGCCTGTGTGCCAGCACCAAGGGTGGGTGCAACCTGATCGGCTACACGCTCATGTGCTTCAGAGAGAACCTGCGTTGGGAGGAAGGCTTCAGCCAGATCTGGGGAGGCATTTTGGAGAACAGCATGGGGAACCTAGAAAATGACAAGTATTGGCAAACGATGAATTCGGACGCTATGCTGCGGCTTGGAGAGCTAACCAAGGGGGACCCACTTCAGCTGGTCGAAGGGGTCGCCCCTGACTTATCTCAGGCAAAAGCCATGGCCAAACAGGAGAAGGGCCCAACTCGTCCGTTTGCTTCAACCTCACTTGGTTCTGCTGCCCAAAACTTGTCACAGCGTGAGCCCTCAGAATCAAGCCAGGGGGAAAGAATCAGGGATCTAGAACAGACCCTCACACAGGTCATGGCCATGATAGAGCTTACCCAAACGCAGGTTGCCGAGATGAAACAGATGATGCCCACTAAGGACGACATGCCGGAACCAAAAGCTGAACAGGCCATGGCCATGATCGAGCTTACACAAACGCAGGTTGCAGAGATGAAAGAGATGATGCCCAACAAGGCCGAGATGTCTGAATCAAAAGCTACTCAAGATCTTCTTAGTAAGAAGTTAGAAGAGATGTCATCTATGCTGCAAGACCTGAATGAGCAGAAGAAGGGTTGGAAAGATTTGGTTGAGCTGAAGGAGGCCTTCCAGCGACTTGTACCTCAAGTATCAGCCATCACTGATGAGATGACAGCTTTGAAGAAGAAAATTGGTCTACGCACAATGCCATGATTGCTTCCATTGCCAGAATTGCAGAAGTACCGCTTGACCAGGTTATCACTGCGCATCAGCTACAGTGCCAACTGCCTGACCAACCACCCAATGTTGCTGCTGTGATTTTACAACACATCCAAGACATTCAGCCTGCTTCCCTTGAGTGCTTGGTGATCATTGACTTGGAGTTGCATGCTCCTCATCAACCTGGAGTTCCTCCCGTGGTTCCACACAGCACTCGACAAGTGCATCGAGTCTACCCATGGCTGCGAAGGGCAAACATCCTGCAATTGGCACGGGTTGATGCCTACTGCGAATGGATGCGTCATAGCTGTTTGGTTTACCACAATGGACGAGGATGGCCCATTTTAGAGTTGGCACCTCGACACATTCAGCATGGTGCATACTTCAAGGTCCTTGTCCCTCCTCCACCGGAGGGACATGGAGACACTGCCCATGCCATCCAAGTTGCACGTGAAGCCGCTGATCTATTCGACTTTCCAGCTGCTGGCCGAATCATCCCTGGACTGCTTCGAGCTGACAATCCTGGTGATGAACCTGCGCATGTGCCAGCTGACCAGCATGACCTTCGAATGAGGACATTCACTGGACTCTACCAAAACAAACATGGCGAAGATCAAGAATTTGATGACTTCCCTGTATCTGAACGAAGCCGAAGACCTAAAATTGAGGATGGACCTGCTCAGGCACCAGCCGAACATTTTGACATTCGAATGAGGAAGCTTGCCGCACCTTGCCAGAACAAAAACGGTGAAGAACAGGAATTTGATGACTTCCCCGTGTCTGCAAGGAGTCGTCGGCCTGCTACCTTTGCTTTGCCAGATGTGGACTGGTCAGGACCATGGCTCCAACAGCTTGCCCAGCTGATGCAGGTTGAAGGTGACCAAGAAGTCATTGATGGACCCTCATATCTGTACTTGCAAACGTGGTTTATCCATCATGAGACACACACATATTGCCGTCATCCTCGTCCAGTGCGCCTGACCAATGAAGTGATCTCTTGGTCTTATGACTTGCGCCAGACTTAGAACGATTTGCTGGAGCAAGGTCGAGCAGTGCGTTTTCATGTGGTACAACCCACGCCTATGCGAGCACCACTGCAATCCTATGCTGGTCATGTGCTATTGGAACAGGCACCATTGAATGGGCGTGCTGCTGTGGTTGTGTCAACTCTCTTCGAGTCGCTGCAAGGGAATGCATTGATGCAGTTTGCAAAATCTTTTCCTCGCTTTGTCACAGCTGTAGATGTCATCAAAGAATCTGAACTAACTCCTCACTGTACTCTTCGACCTTGCTCGGTATGGATTGGACCTCAACAACTCAACATTGCTGTTGCCACTGAACTTTCCTCTGGTCAAGGTCTTCGAGTGCATGTGAAACCTGCTCCATATGCTGCCAATGAGCCGATGCCGCCACCAATTGCCTATGACAACATTGATGGAGCCTCCCTTTTTCAGACATCTTCATCGCTGATCGCATGTCCAATAAGGCACCACCATACCGATCATGACGTGCGTCAAACGATTCAAGAATGTTATGACCAAGCTGCTCGTGACCCACCACCACCACCTCATGAAGAAGATCAGCCTCCCTTTGTGCAGCAAATGCTTAGCGCATGGCGTTCATGGCAACGTCAACAAGGTGATCAGGCTGACGAGGCATTTCACGTCGCCATGTGGTATTCCAATCATGTCACAGATCGACGCTCTGATGACTATCGCATTGTCCGCCTTGGTGGTGACTTCTTGAGTTGGCGACGCCGTATCACCAATATCTGGAGTGATCGTGTCCTTGCTGACCATCCCGTTGATGTTGTGATGGTCGCTCCAACGCCAAGTGATGGACATGAGCGTGTGATGTTCCATGTAGTGATCATTCAACAACCACTTCCTGAGATTTACACTGTGGTTCTCTCTGTCGTGGATCTATGGGGTGACCCGTGGTACCCCCGTTTGATATGTGATCTACTCCCTGCTGATGCTGATGTCTTCCAATTGATCAATGCGGCTGGCGTTCTGACTCAATGTCCGCCATTTGTACCAGGTGCTATATGCAACGTCTGGCATGGCGAACACCGCATCACTGACCAAGTTGGCGACTCTTTGCGTCATGGTGCTTCCTTTCACATGACCATTGACCTTGCATCCAATGCTGCCGCCAGCTCAGCTGATGCCATTGCTGCACCATTTGCCGACCAGCACTCAACTGATGTG